GAGACCTGACCTGAAGTGGTTGTGTCATCAGCAGACTTGTAAATGGAGTTGGGGCAGAATTTGGCCACACAGTCGTGAGTGTGTAAGGAGTATAGTAGGGGGCTAAGTGCACAGTCTTGTGGGGCTCCAGTCTTGAGGATTATAAAAGAGAAGCTGTTGTCGCTTATCCTTACTGATTGCTGCCTATGTATCAGGAAGTCGAGGATCCAATTATGGAGGTGGAGCCAAGACCTAGGTCTCTCAGTTTAGAGATGAATTTATTTGAAATTATGGTGTTGAAGGTGGAAGTATAGTCAATAAGTAGGAGCCCGATGTAAGTATCCTCAGAATATAGAACTGTACAGCACAGGAACAGGCCCTTTGGCTGATGATCTTCTGCCAGACATGATGCCAAATGAAACTAATCCCTTCTGCCTGCCATTGGTCCATATTCCTCCATTCCTTGCATATTCATGTGCTTATCTAAAAGTTCCTTAAAAATCCCTATCATATCTCCCTTCACCACCACCCCTGGCAGTGTGCTTCTGACTCCGACCACTGTGTATTAAAACAAAAGGCTTGCCCCTCACGTCTTCTTTGAACTTTCACCCTCTAACCTGAAATGCATGCCCCCTAGTATTAAACATTTCAACTCTGGAAAAATGTTTCTGACTGTCAACCCTATCTATGCATCTCATAATTTTATAGACATCTATCAAGTCTCCCCCTAGCCTGCGTTGCTCAAGAGAAAACAATGAAACAAGTTTTACTAGCCTCTCTTTATATGTCATACCCTTCAATACAGGCAGCATCCTTGTTATCGAGATGGTCCAGGAATGAGTATAGGGCCAGGGAGATGGCATCTGCTGTGGACCTGTTGCACCGGTAGGCAAATTACAAAGGATCAAGACAGTTTGGTAGGATGGAATTCATGTGGCCTTGACTCACCTCTCAAAGCACTTCATAATTATGGAGGTCAGAACCACCAGGCAGTAGTCATTAAGGCACGCTTCATGATTTTTCTTTGACACCAAGATAATTGTGGTCGTCGTGAAGCAGATGGGGACTTCAGGTCATAGTAAGGAGAGATTAAAGATGCCTGTGAAAACTCCTGCCAGCTGGTCCACACAGGATCTGAGTGCTGGCTGGGGACAACATCTGGGCCACTGTCAAAAACACCAATCCAATGTCTGCGGCGGTGACTGCGGGTACAGGTGCATCTGAGGCTGTTTGGATAGGAAACATCATTTCACTGACCTTCTGTTCAAAGCGGTGTTGAGTGCATTGACGTCGTCAGATCAGGATGTACTGTTGCCCACAATTCTGTTTGACTTTGCTTTGAAACCTGTTTTGTTGTCGAAGCAAGTCCCATCTAAATCTTCATTTTCTGAAGAAGGGTCTAGGCCCGAAACGTCAGCTGTCCTGCTCCACTGTTGCTGCTTGGCCTGCTGTGTTCATCCAGCTCTACACCTTGTTATCTCAGATTCTCCAGCATCTGCAGTTCCTACTATCTCTCCCATCTAAACCTCCTGCCTTTCACCTTAAAATTATAACCGCTTGTTACTGACCCTCCAAATAAGGGATTCAGCAGCTTTCTTTCCATCCTGCCCATGCCTCTCATAATCTTCTTTGCGCCTCACCTCTATCAGGTCCCCACTCAACCTCTTAGAACAATACAGCACAGTACAGGCCCTTTGGCCCACGATGTTGTGCCGAACTTTTACCCTAAACCTAAGGTCTATCTAACCTCCACCCCTACCTTATACTATCATCCATATGCCTATCTAATAGCCGCTTAAATGCCCCGAATGCAGCCGACTCCATTACCCTCTCCGGCAATGCATTACACGCCCCTACCACTCTCTGAGTAAAGAACCTACCTCTGACGTCTCCCCTATATATCTACGTCCACTCACTTTAAAACTATGCCCCCTCGTAATAGCTACCTCCACCCTAGGAAAATGTCTCTGCCTGTCCACTCTATCTATATTCTGATCATTTTGTACACCTCTATCAAGTCATCTCTCATCCTTCGTCGTTCTAAAGAGAAAAGCCCTAGCTCTCTCAACCTTTCCTCGTCTGACCTTCCCTCCATTCCAGGCAACACCCTGGTAAATCTGTGGACCTTTTCCAACGCTTCCACATCTTTCCTGGAATGAGGCGATCAGAGCTGGACACAATACTCCGGATATGGCCGAACCAGGCTTTTGTATCACTGGAGCATAACTTCACGGCTCTTGAACTCAATCCCTCCATTAATGAAAGCTAACGCACCATACGCCTTCTTAACAACTCTATCCACCTGGGTGGTGGCTTTCCGGGAACTGTGGACATGAACCCCAAGATCCCTCTGCTCCTCCACACTGCCAAGAATCTTTCCGTTAACCCTGTATTCTGCTTTCAAGTTTGTTCTTCCAAAATGAATCATCTCACACTTTTCGGGGTTCGACACCATCTGCCACTTCTCAGCCCAGCTCTGCATCCTATCGGTGTCCCTTTGTAACCTAGAACAGCCCTCCGCACTATCCACAACTCGACCCACCTTCATATCGTCCGCGAACTTACTGATCCACCCTTCCAGTCCTACATCCAAATCATTTACAAAAATCGCAAATAGAAGAGGACCCAGAACAGATCCTTGTGGTACACCACTCGTAACCGAGTGCCATGTTGAATATTTTCCGTCCACTACCACACTTTGTCTTCTAAGGGTCAGCCAATTCTGAATCCAATCTGCCACATTTCCCCCTATCCCATGCCTCCTTACTTTCTGCATGAGCCTACCATGGGGAACCTTATCAAACGCCTTACTTAAATCCATGTATACCACATCCACTGCTGTACCTTCATCCACGTGTTTGGTCACCCCTTCAAAGAATTCAATAAGGTTTGTGAGGCATGATCTACCCCTCACAAAATCCATGCTGACCATCATGAATCAAACTGTGCCTATCCAAGTGATCATAAATCCTATCTCTCAGAGCCCTTTCCATTAATTTGCCCGGTTCATTGCCGAGCACCAAATCCAAAGTGGCCTCTCCTCGTGTTGGTCTATCTACATACTGTGTCAGGAATCTTTCCTGAACGCACTGAACATAATCTGCTCCATCTAAACTATTACAACTAAAATGTTTCCAATCAATATTTGGAAAGTTGAAGTCACCCATGACTACAACCCTGTGACTTCTGCACCTTTCCATTATCTGCCTCCTAATCCGCTCCTCCACTTCTCTGCAACTATTAGGGGGTGTGTAAAAAACCCCCAACAAAGTGACTGCTCCTTTCATGTTCCTGACCTCAACCCAAACTGACTCTGTAGACATATCATTCTCGAACTGTCTTTCATTAGCTGCTCTACTAGCCCTGACTAGCAATGCCACTCCCCCTGCCTCTTTTACCATCCTCCCTATTTCTTGTAAAGCATCTAAATCCTGGAACTTCCAAAGTTCTTCTGCTCCAAAGAAAACAACCCCAGCTTATCCAGCCTAAATTCATAGTTGAAATGCTCTCTCCCAGGTAACATCCTGGTGAATTTACTTTGCAGCCCCTCCAGTGCAATCGTATCCGCAAGAGTGCAGTAACCAGAACTGCACACCATACTCCAGCTGTGGCCCAATCAAAGTCTTGTACAGCTCCAACATGACCTCACTGCTGTTACTATCTATGTTTCATCTGATAAAGGCAAGAGTCCTATATGCTGCCTTAACCACCCAATTAATCTGTCCATCTGTATCCTCCAGTAATCCAAGACCTCCTTCCTAATTGTCAGCCATCTGGCCAATCTTCGTGTTGTCCACAAACTCACTTGTCATCGCCCACTTCAGTCCCATCGTTGCAACTGCATATGTTTTTTTTCATAGCAGAGGTAGTATAATAGCAGAAGAGTGAGAGGTGACCTTATTGAAACATACAACATTCTTAGGACGCTTGACAGGATAGATGCAGAAAGGTTGTTCCCCTTTGTGGGAGAATCCAGGATCATAATCTTACTGTAAGAGTTCGCAGACTTAAGGCAGAGATATGGAGTAATTTCTTGGCTAAAAGAGTCTTGAATATGTGGAATTTCTTACTGCACAGGCATGAAAGGTGCGTCATTAAATATATTCAAGGCTGAGATAGATTTTTAAACAGTAAGGGAATCCAGTGTTTTAGGGGAAAGGCAGGTAAATGACATTGTGGAATATCAGATCATTCATGATCTCATTGAATGGTGGCGTAAACTTGATGGGCTGAATGGCCTACTTTTACACTTACATCTTTTAGTCATAGTTTGATACCTGGTTGCCTTATGAGGATATGTTGGACAGACTGGGTCTGTTCTCACTAGAGTTTAGTAGAAAGAGGAGTGACTTGACTGAAGAGTATTAGATCCTGAATGGTCTTGACAAGTTGAATGTGGAAAGGATGTTTCCTGTTGTGGGTTAGTACAGAATTAGAGGGGTCCTGCTTTAAAATTATGGGTTACCCTTTCAGGACAGAGATGTGGAGAAACTCTTTCTCTGAAGAGGGTTGTGCGACTTTGTAAGTCTGCCCCAGATGGTGGAGATGTGATTATTAAATATTTGTAAAATGGTGAAGGATAGATTGTTAGGCAGGCAATTAAGGGTTATTGGGATAGATGGGAATGTAGAAATCAAAACAAGCATTGGCCATGATTTTATGTAACGGCAGGACAGGATTAAGGGGCTGAATGGTCTGCTCCTGAATCTGTTTTATATGTTCATATGTACACCTCCCCCACTCCCTGGTAAAAGCTGACTTTTGACCCCAGCAAAATCCCTGGCATCCAGTAAAGCTGATGCTCCCTCAGTGATTGTGGTTTTGAAACCCCAGTCTGGTGACTTGTGGTAGACAAAAATCCTTTGTTCATTGACCAAGCCACTGTCCACTAACCGGTGAATCTCTGTCCTATGGCCAGGGCTCACGTGAGCCCATCTCTTCGGTGTTGCAAACTGTCACGGTGTGTTTGATGGACTGATTTTGCAATTTGCTGATGCTGGTTCATCCATGATTTCCTGCAGTTTGAGAGCAGTGTTGCTGCGAAATGTCTGGCGAGCATTCTGCTTGAACTCAATGGATTGCGGGAATTCCTTGATAGAAACTCCCAATTTGGATCTGGAACTCTAGGAAATGCAAGGTAAGATCAATGGGTAGCAGGAGTGAATTTAGCACCAACTCCAAACCTCTCAGTCAGTGAGGGACACCATTCTACGCTCAGAGTGCAACATCCTGCACTGTGCAGACAGTGTTCAACTTCCGTTGTACGGTCAGTGCATGATGTCCATCACGCTGCAGTGTGTGTGGAATTTACCAGTCTTATGTTGACCATGACACAACTGTTGATTGTTTTAAAAGCCCATCAGGTTCATTGATGTTCTTTAGAACAGGAAATCTGATGTCCTCACCTTGTCAGACCTAAGTGTGACTCGAGAAGGCAGCCCACTATCAGTGAGCATTGCCCACTGTCTGGTTGCTCTGGGCTGTGCATTCAGTTTGTGCTGCACCCATGTTATCTGATTTTTGAGTGTTCCCCACACACTGCAATCCATATGTCTACAGAGTCAGTTTGAGTTGAGGTTTTTACAGACCCCCTAATAGTTGCAGAGAAGTGGAGGAGCGGATTGAGAGGCAGATACTGGACAGGTGCAGACGTCACAGGGTTGTAGTCATGGGTGACTTCAACTTTCCAAATATTGATTGGAAACTTTTTAGTTGTAACGGTTTAGGTGGAACGGATTTTGTCCAGTGCATTCAGGAAAGATTCCTGACACAGTATGTAGATAGACCAACACGAGGAGAGGCCACTTTGGATTTGGTGCTTGACAATGAACCAGGCCAAGTGTCAGACCTGTTGGTAGGAGAGCATTTTGACGGTAGTGATCATAACTCTGTTGCTTTTACAATAGTCATGGAAAAGGATAGGCACATACAGCAGGGTAAGGTTTATAATTGGGGGAAGGGTAATTATAATTCTGTTAGGCAAGAACTGGGTAACATAAAATGGGAACAGATGCTGTCAGGGAAGAGCACTACAGAAATGTGGAGATTGTTTAAGGAATGCATATTGTGCGTGATCGATATGTTTGTCCCTGGCAGGCAGGGAAGATGCAGTCGAGTGAGGGAGCCTTGGTTCTCAAGAGAGTTCGAACGACTGGTTAAGAGGAAGAAGGATGCTCATATAAGGTTTAGGAAACAAGGAACGGAAAAGGTTCTGGGGGGATACAAGTTATGCAGGAAGGAGCTAAAGAAAGGGCTTAGGAGAGCTATAAGGGGGCATGAGAAAACCTTGGCAGACAGGATCAAGGAAAACTCCAAGGCTTTTTACATGTACGTGAGGAATAAGAGAATGACCAGAGAAAGGGTAGGGCCGATCAAAGGTTGTAAAGGAAATTTGTGCATGGAGCCGAAAGAGATAAGAGAGGCCCTGAATGAATACTTTTCTTCGGTATTCACAACTGAGAGGGACCTAGTTGTAGAGGAGGACAGTGTAAAACAGGCCATTAGGCTAGAGGAGGTGGATGTCAGTAAGGAAGATGTACTGGGAATTTTGAGGAACTTGAAGATAGATAAGTCCCCCGGGCCTGATGGGATTTATCCAAGGATTCTATGGGAAGGAGGAAAGAGATCGCAGGGCCTTTGGCGATGATCTTTTCATCCTCACTGTTCACAGGTATAGTGCCGGAAGATTGGAGAGAGGCAAACGTCATTCCCTTGTTCAAAAAAGGGAATAGGGATAACCCTGGAAATTACAGGCCAGTTAGTCTTACGTCAGTGGTGGGCAAATTATTGGAAAGGGCTCTGAGAGGTAGGATTTATGATCACTTGGAAAGGCACAGTTTGATTTGTGATAGTCAGCATGGATTTGTGAGGGGTAGATCATGCCTCACAAAGCTTACTGAATTCTTTGAAGAGGTGACCAAACACATGGATGAAGGTACAGCAGTGGATGTGGTATACATGGATTTAAGTAAGGCATTTGATAAGGTTCGCTATGGTAGGCTCATGCAGAAAGTAAGGAGGCATGGGATAGGGGGAAATGTGGCAGATTGGATTCAGAATTGGCTGACCCTTTAATGTGGCAGATTGGATTCAGAATTGGCTGGCCCTTAGAAGACAAAGGATGGTAGTGGACGGAAAATATTCAACATGGTGCTCAGTTACGCGTGGTGTACCACAAGGATCTGTTCTGCGTCCTCTTCTATTTGTGATTTTTGTAAATGATTTGGATGTAGGAGTGGAAGCGTGGATCAGTAAGTTCGCGGACGATACGAAGGTGGGTCAAGTTGTGGATAGTGCGGAGGGCTGTTCTAAATTACAAAGGGACATTGATAGGATGCAAAGCTGGGCTGAGAAGTGGCAGGTGGAGTTTAACCCTGAAAAGTGTGAGATGATTCATTTTGGAAGGACAATCTTGAAAGCAGAATACAGGGTTAATGGAAAGATTCTTGGCAGTGTGG